ACTCGAGCTTCGGATTTTGGACTTGCATTTTTTGCTTTGAGGGGAGGTGGTGTGTGCGCAACACACTTTCTTGATCATCTGCGACAAAGCTTCCCCTCGCCCAATTTTCAGCGAAATCTCAAGGTCGAGTCGCAAAGTCCAAGATTGCTCAGCTGCAGCTCGCGGCTCGCATTGCTTCTTCCTTTTCCGCTTCCGCAGCTGCAGTTTCCTCCCTCACTCCTAGTCTTAGCGCCCGACTGGGTGGCATAGGAAGGCTCGTGGAAAGTGGTGTTAACTGCAATCCGGCATTGCAAACATCGGTCAGGTGGTGCAAGAAAACTGCCCAATGCGTCCGAGCTCGGATGATTTCTTGTAATGTGCCTGCGTCTCACTAACATCAGCTCCAAAACAGCAGCCATACGGTCTGGTTCAGGTCACGGACGGTCACGGGCGAGTCACGGGTCAGTCCCGGGGCGCTGCAGTCATAAAGCTCACCGCGAAAAGTCGTTGCCGAAGCACAGCCATGCGCACCCGTTGTTATGCAGGCCCCGCCTTTGCAAGCAACAACGGGATCCCAATTCCTTTTTGCAGATCCAGACGATCACAGTCAACATGTGCATCTCAGACGGAGTCGGCACTTCGACGGCCATCATGGGCACTTGTACAACCTCAACTCAATGATTGTATGGAAAAGTTGAACACGAAAACAAAGTCAGCATCGTCTTCGCAACCGGCAGAACAACCTCGTGCCCGCGACATTTGTGATGATTCACCTTCGAGAAGGATTGATCGAGGGTCTTCTACAACATGATGTGAAGAGGCTTGAGACTCGTTGCCAAAGTTCTGCTACAAGCAATGTTACATACACAAAACAGTGTGAACCAGTCCTGCGTCGATCCGATCAGATTCTCCAGCTAAAGTGTGTCGCTGGATTCTTCGAATCCATGGCCCAGTCTGCCTGATGTGTCCTAGTTGAGGATGACAACAGATAACTCCCTGGGGACTTATAAAGGAACAGCGTGCTTCCCCTCTGCAGAATCATGTCGAAACTCTACGTGTTTCATTGCGTTGTGACTGGGGTGGCTTGCTTTGATGCACAACCCGCGACGTGAATGCTTCTCAAGCACGTCGCGCAAGCAGGGTGTTGCAAAGTGGCGGCATCCACGAACCTCTCCGATCGCAGAGCAAGCCGTTTTGGTTCCAAGCCCCTAGTAGAGCGTCGGGTTGCATGGACAGAGGAGGCTTTCATACTGAGATGTACAGAAACTCAGTTTCCAATAAATTGTACAGGAATTGGAACATACGTTTTCTGAGTACACGCAGGATTGAAATCCTAGTAAGTTTTGCTTGGAAACCCACGGAAACCAAGAAATTCAAAACCAACATGATCGAGTTCGTTCGGTCTGTGTTCCAGCATAATGAGCTCCCCGCAGGACAGTCTTGATAACACGCAACCAGTTGGAATGTGTGCAGAAGCCCACCCACCACCATCGTATGAGTGCCATGTTTTGGAAAGGTAGTCAAAGAAGAAACAGAAGGTGTCAATGTGAGAGATGATAGCTGAAAAATACAACGCAGGAATGTTTAGGAACATGTAGCGGGAGCCGAGGTTCTGCGACTCGGAAATCCATCAAACTTACAAGACATACTTGACGAAAAAGCTCGAAGCAAGCAGGCTCCCTGCAAAGGCTCCCTGCAAAGGCTCCGCCATTTGGGCTATTGTAAGTTTATGGTTTTTCCCCTTGTAAGGCTTCCCCAAGGGGCTCCTCGTAAGGACTCCCTGATATGTTGCCTTGTAAAGGCTCCGCTTGCTTCTTGGGAAAACTGCAAAACAAGCAGAATTTTCAATACGCATCCGCAGTTTCATGTGTCCGCCCCGAAGCCGTGCAGGCCGCAGATCATCTACGCGCTCATCATCCGAGGTGTGGGCAAGCAGCCAAGGACTTGCATCAAGTCCTGAAGAGGCCAGCGGGTCGTTCTGGCCGAGTACACGGCGCTCGCCGGCAACTTTCAGCAGGCTCCTACCGCCGCTTGCTGGGCCGCGGCGTTCCCCCGCTCTCCACTCGCTCCGCTCGGCTCGGGCTCCCCAGGGCTCCGGCCGCTCCCCTTCTGCTTTTGCCGCTTTTGCTGAGCTAGAAGTCGAGTGCTCGAGCTGCTGCGTTGTTTTCGTCCTCCTAAGCTTTGGAAACTCAGGAAACCACAAGGATCC